CGGTAATAATGTTTTGTACAAATATATTAAACCGAACCCAAACTAAAACCTAATTAATTACAGTTGAATGTCCAAATCGAACCAAATAAACCAAAACCACTGAAGATTAATATATATTTTTTAATAATTAAACCAACAAAACCAAATTAAAAAAGGAAATTATCAAAACTAATCACATAAAATTAAACCAAACCGAAGCGAAATGACTTTCATAAAACTGAAAAAAACTTGAAACTAAAAAATTGGAACCGACAAGTGAAAACGTAAACCTAACCATTATTGTTCTAATAATATATAATAAAATATCGAGTCTGATTAATAAAACGGTATAAGTTTTTCAGCTGTAGTAAAACGGGGTATAAGTTTTTCAACTGTAAGCGGAAGCTGTAACATATTGCAAAATTAGTATGAAATAACTATAAAAAAAAACTGTATAAATAAAACTAAGTGTAATGCTTTTGATAAAAAAAAATTAATATCGCTTTCTAATTAGTACAATAAAAATGTTATAAATTGTAAAGTCGCTGTACTTANCCGTCAAACATTATATAGTTTATTAGTCAAACATTATATAGTTTATTATTAATACAACTTTGTTTTTGTTTGTTTTATTCCTGATACAATACCAACTTAGTTTTCTCAACTAAAGGATTTTGTTTAAAGAAGAAAAAGTTTAGATGAAAACGTTGGGCTTGATATCGATTCATAACTGTATATCCATAAATTGTTTTCTGAGTGATGTCTCTTTAGTTTTTAATAATGTCCCTTTTCAAAGGGGCTCTTTAAATATTGGCCTTATGTTGGCACATGCCTAAGTTAAGACCAAGTTGCACCTCCAATAGCGACGCAGCACAAATATATGCTTAATGCCTAAACCCTAATTATACCTTTTGCATTCTCTTTGTTGGGGAAAAAAAAACAAATTAATTTGTATTCTTTATGAAAAATGTAATTCTGTAACCTCCATTTTTCTATAGCTGTGGGGGAAAAAAATGAAAGTATTCTTGAATAAAAACCACCTCTTCTACGGAGAAAATATTTCCTCTCATTTATTTTTTCCAGTAAAACAATATCTGAGGAAATCTTTGTTCTTTGTTTGTAAAAATTCCTCACGTCCTAAATTGAATTAAGAAAAGAAAAAAAAAGAGTCGAAGATGCATGACCCTACGAACATGGCTATCTAGCTGGGACCATATAATTAAAAAAGCTTTCCCATCAATTTTTCTTTGTTTGATAAAATGTCAATGATTTTGATCGATTCTTTATAAAAATCTTGGATAAGATTCTAAGTACCGTTCTAAATATTAATCGTTTCCATTGAGACTTAACGGTCACCCCACAAGCCTAGCCTACATTTTCAGATAAATATTTCGCGAAATAAGTCTAAATTTCTAGATAAATATATCGCTTTATTGATTTCCGATTATTTCTTATTTTGTATAAATCTTTTTCCTGTGCAAATAGACCCAAACATGTCACGTGAAATGTAGTAAAAATTGGTCCCTACATATCGTGGAACACTTGACACAAATGAACAGAAGGAACCACACAGATAACATGTATTTTTCCCTCGTAGGGTGAGCCACAAACTAGTCATTCTCATCAAATCGTCACTTGTTAAACAATATCTATTCGTTTACACCCAAAAGACGTTAGTAAATATTGTTTCTTTTTGTGTGTAAATTCATAACCGATCGTATTTCATGTGAACTTGTTATAATTTGCGGTGAACTTTGAACGAACTCTAGGTTTATGTTTAAAAATGAAGAAAAAAATGATTAAGACGAAAACGTTTATGTCTAAAATCATTTATTAATTGTATGAATAAAATCATTTCAAATCTTAAAACCAAGTTAGACTATTAACCATTTGTAACGGTACACTTTGATTTTAAGTCACTTTATAACTAAAAATCATGGCTTTCTGTCTCAATCTACTAGAAAAATTCGGAACAATACACTTTGATTTTAAGTCACTTTGAGCAACATAAACAAATTAGACTATTGTCCATATGTAATATATTTGAGAAATATATCATCAAGAGGATCCTTTAAATTGGTATCAACTATTAGGAGATCTCTGGGATAGATTTTGGAAGAAACTTTAGTAATATAATAGTTTCTCTCAGTTTTATTGATTAGTCAATACGTTTATTTATATAATAATATATCTTTACATATAAAAAATAAAAAATGTACCTTGTACACAAATATTAACTTTCCTAAATCATGTAAAGAAATATATTCAAAGGCATTCTAGTCATCACAGAGATCTCCTAACATCAACATATTGTAAATTAAAGAATAAACAAATTTAAAATTTTCAATTGTTAAGAGTTTCGACGACAATTATTCCGGTAGGGATATTCCAACGAACATGATGAGAGATTTTTTTTGTAAGTTGTTTTGGAAAACGACTTTTTATATGAATTGATCGGTCTGTATTTGTCAATTACTAACCGATGACATACATAGACCTTACATATTTTCTTTTAATATGAAAGAATATAAGGAAAAATGACGTGATAAATCACTTGGAAAAATTTGGAAAAGTATTAGAAAAGAAAAAGTTGGAGCGTTGGGTACATGGAAATAAACGGTGCTCGTGAGATAGAATCGAAAATAGGAAAATGATGTGAAGCTCACTCATGTGCAAGTGCAACTTTTGGAACATGTAACATGTTTCTAACCTTTTCTTCTTACTTCAGCCCATCATATCTTTTACGAAGCAACACTTTTTTGTTTCCTTATCTTAATGGATAATAATCCTTAAATCTCTTTACTTTTCAATTGGCAATATTTTTGGTATTTTCTTGTGTGGTCTCTATTTATACATAGTTCGGGGTAAAGTATTTACATGTTATATATAGTTTGGAGAACTAAACACTAATCATAAGAACTTACAAACCAAACATTTTTCACTGTCTCGCGTTTCGTTTTTGATGAGTCTAGGTTTTTATTAGTTGAGGAGAAGAGATATCGAATTTGGTAAGATTGTTAGTAATCTCAAGATAAGATTTTACATGAAGATAAGATACTCTCTTGTATAGAGAGGGTTACATTGGTTTACTTGTAAAATGATAATTAAACCTA